GCCTATTTGTAAATGTTTTGCCCCCGTTTTACTTAGGTGTTTTTGTCAAATTCCCTCATAAAAGGTTGGTTTTATGCTAGGTTCCTCGTGTTTGAGTGTGTTTCAGGATTTAACAGGTGAAACCAGCCTCAGAGTCGAAAGCTGGGCGAAAAGAATCGAAAACCGGGAGAAGAGGTGAAAAAGGGCCAGTTCGCGGCCATCCAAGTAAGTTCACAGTCTTGCATGACCGTGAAGGAGATCCCTTGAGCATGAATCACAAGGCGTCCAGAGCCAAAACAGAGGTTACTGACGCAAGGCGAGTTCACGGTCGCTAAGATCGTGAACAAAGGTTGTTGTGAACAGAATAGATCGTAGCGGTGCGTTTTGGCGCACACCTGCAGTTCACGGACGCGTTTCGTTGTTCACGGACGTGAACTCAGGCCGTGAACTGAGCTCGTCTCTGGCTTAAATGATGAGTTGAAAGGAGGAGAGAAGGGAGAGCCCACTTTGTGTAAAAAGCCTTCTTCAGCTTTCTAGAGAGAGAAACACGAACCAAGGAAGAAGAAGGCTAGGGTTTTGCTTCAAGGTGGATTTTGGGAAGATTTCCTCCAAGGAAAGATCAACACAAGGGCCAAGGAGAAGTAGAGCATCCTCCAATATGTTTTCCTCTTCTTCTCTTTGTGTTTTCCCCATTTTTAGCATGTAGTAGATCTCCTTTCACTTGGGTGTTGTGAAACCCTAACTCTACCATGTAGTTTCTTTTATGTGAATTGAATGATTGTCATGGGGTATTGTTTAATTCAATGATTTAGGTATTTTTCATGATTGATTGTGCACACTTGTGCTTAGCAACCTAAGGGTTGTGCATGTTTTATGCTTAGCATCCCTAGATTTGTGCATTTTGGTGCTTAGCAACCTAAGGATTGTGCATAATTGTGCTTAGAATCCTTAGATTTGTGCATGTCAGTGCTAGCAATCTAATTAGCCACCATAACCTAGCTTAGAGAGGAAAATCCCCCTTCCAAGGGAGACTCAATCGAGTTGGTTTTCCTTCATCTTTTAAGCCACCTAACTAGGTTAATTTAGAGCAACCCTCAGTTTTGAATTAAGCAAATAGGTTAATCATGATTAAGTCGTCCGACCTTTGAGTTGAGTGAGGTAGTAAGTCAATTACCAATTTCCTAAACCGAGAGGGTCGAGTGACACGACCTTTAATGTTCACCTCGGTTTAGCAATTGAGATTGTAGTCCCCCACCATATATGCATCCCTCTGCGGTTCGCGATTACCTTGCCCAAAATAATCGTTCCAATTCACATAGCATGGTAGTAGTTAGGGGGAAGCGACACCTGAGTGATCCTTCCACGAAAGAGTTTTCGAACCCATTTACCTTTGCTTTACTTTGTTATAATTATCAAACTTTCAAACCAAAACTTTGTTGCTAGATAATGATTTCAACAATGGAAGTAGGCGTAGACGGATCGGCCCGGGTTGATATCTAAATACTTGCTCTATACTGCACCCAGCTAGAGTTTAAAAACTTGGACTCGAGTCGAGATTTTTTGTGGTGTAGTTTCGTGCGAGTCATGCACCATAATTAGCATTACAATAACATGAGTATACTAACCACATTCATCTAACTAACATCATTCATACCATAACTGATCTAAATGTCTCTAACATAACATATTTGTCACTAACCGTAATTCATTAAATAAAGACAAATAATTATTAAAACATCAATATCTAAACAGTACATAATTATATCATACCGAAAAATTTGAGTTTCTGTATCCATAGTTGCTGGAAGCTGACTGAGAAATAGATTTTGCAAAAATTTGAGTGGAATGGGCCAGATTTTTTAGGCATGTACGGGGGGGGGGGATTGGTTATTTATATATGCAAAACATGTCAGAACATCACTGCAAGAGTCCATTACAGTGAAGCATTCACCGCACTGGCCTATTGCGGTGAATACAGGTCGTTGTGACCTAATGTTCCACCTACCAGGACTGGAAAACGTGGTAAACAATCAACGTTTTTCCCAACAGCGATGATACGTTCACCGCTCTAGACGACTGCAGTTAATAGTTTACCGTTTTAATCCAACGCGGTGATTAGTTCACCGTTTTCCTTTATTGTGGTGACTCATTCATTGTCTTTGTTCATTGCGGTGACTCTTTCACTATCTTGGTCCATTGCAGTAATGTATTTCACTGTCTTGGTCCATTGCGGTGATGTACAAACATACGTACTTTGAGAATTATTTTTATAAATAACGTATTTTGAGATTTTTTTTAATGACTAGTGTATTCTTGGATTTTTTCCCTTGGGAATTATTTTTTTAATAACGAAATTTTTCCAGTTTAGCATGTCATGTCTCTCTCCATCGTATCTGTGGCATAGGCATCTTAACCATTTGGGTTGGTCTACTTTCGTTTTGAACTCTCGAATGATACTTTTCAACACTACACCATCAAAGCAACATGATTTCCGTACTGGGCATTTGTTACAATCCTTTAATCATACCTGGCTTACCCTAATTCCAAAGGTGCCTCAAGTGGAAACATGTGCGCAGTTGCGGCCTATTGGATTGTGCCAAGTATTCTACAAACTTATCTCCAAAATCATTGCTACTCGTCTTGGGCAAGTGTTACCTCAAGTTATCTCCACCTATCAAAATGGCTTCGTAAAGGATCGCTCGATTGTTGATAATGTCATTCTTAGTCAAGAAGTTATGACGTACCTACGTAATAAACGTACTGGTTACGATAGTTTTATGGCCCTGAATCTTGATATGGAGAAGGCTTATGATCGGATTGAATGGCCCTACCTCTTTCGCTTAATGGAAAAATTGGGTTTTGCACCTCGTGTAATTGAGCTTCTCCACAATTGTCTTTCCACGACCTCCATTTTGGTTCTTCTCAATGGCGCCTCTTACGGGTATTTTCGGCCATCTCGTGGTTTACGTCAAGGGGATCCTCTATCACCATTACTTTTTTCTATTTGTACGGAGGGTTTTTCAGCTTTGCTGCTGCAATCCATTACCCGTGCTGAGCTAAAGGGTATCTGTCTTAATAGTCATTGTCCGGTGCTCTCACAATTATTTTTTGCGGATGATGCTTATCTTTTTCTCCGGGTTTCTCCGATCGAATATCAACGATTACTGGATTTGCTTCGTCGTTATGAACGGATGAGTGGTCAGCGGGTTAATCTAGCAAAATCAGTAGTGGTGTTCTCCAAAAATACCACAATAGCAAAGTCAGTCGTGTCGGCCCTACCTGTTTATGCTATGTCATGTTTTCGACTTCCAAAGGAGCTCTGTCGGGCTTTAAATCGTATGATTGCATGGTTTTGGTGGGGTCAACAAGGGACTGAAAGACGTTTTCCTTGTATATCTTGGAGAAATCTCTGTAAACCAAAAGGGGATGGTGGTTTGGGCTTCCGGGATTTTGAGGCTTTTAATCAAGCGCTACTTGCCAAGCAATGCTGGCGCATTTTACAAGATCCCAATTCTCTAGTTGCGCGGGTTTTAAAAGGACGATACTTCCATCATACGAGTTTCTTGAATGCCGGTGTGGGTTCTAATTCTTCTTGGGCATGACAATCACTTCTTTATGGTCGTGCATTGCTAAGCCGCGGTTTGCGTTGGGAGGTTGGTGCTGGTTCTTCAATTGATGCTTTGACGGATCCTTGGGTTCCATCTCTTCCAAGTTTTCGACCAGTAGTGCTGCCCACTGCAGATCGGTCCCCTCGGTTAATCTCCTACTTCATCTCTCCCGTTCGTCGTTCTTGGGACCATCAGCGACTTGGAGAGTTCTTCACGCAGGATTCCATTAAGAGTATCATTTGCATACCTTTGCCTCGACTCTTTTGCCCGGATAAATTAATTTAGCATTTTGATCCACATGGTTTATTTACGGTTAAGTCAGCTTATCGGTTGGCGACTAGTTTGCCTCCAGTTTCAAGGGCTCGTGGTAGTGTGGACCAGGCTTCTCCTCTTGATTCTGCGTTATGGCCTCGACTTTGGGGTCTTCCTCTTGCTCCCAAATTGAAGTTTTTCCTTTGGCGGATTTTACTAAGAATCCTTCCGGTTAGGGAGGATCTTGCCCGACATGGGGTGCATGTAGAAGATTCATGCCCTGTTTGTGGTTCATATGAAGGCGAATCGCTGGAACATTTATTCCTTGCGTGTCGTGTGGCAGTAGGTTTCCCTCAACAGTGTGGTTTACATCTGCCTCTGGGAATTTTTTCAAACACGCATTTGTCCATCTTTTTAAGACATATCATTCTCTCCGATCATGCCACCATAATAAATTGGGTCTTCTATTTTTGGCGGATTTGGAAAGGGCTGAATAATGTTGTCTTTCCACCCTATGCACAATTTACCACTGCTGCCTTGTACCGTCACTTATTATCTCATCATGCCTCTCATCAAATTTTCGTCCTACCCAATCAGTCGCCGCTACCCAGACCTCAGCCATATCCTCATTCGACGCTTCAATCTGCTTTTCGCATTGCAGTTGATGGGGCGACTAGTGCTCCGACTCATGGCGCAATTGGCGTGGTGGGTTTGGATCAGAATGTGCCAGTTTTTGCAATGGGTGGTTTCTTTCCAGACCTTTTTCATCCTAAGATCATGGAGGTGTTGGCAATTAGGGAAGCTCTATTACTACTTCGACAATGGCAGTGGCAGGATCGACCGATCGTGATCACAAGTGATGCTCTTGCAGTTGTACAACATTTGAAGGCTTCTGATGCCAATGATGCCCTTGTGGGGGCTATCTTACGAGAAGTCATCTTTATGTTGCAAGAATTGCTGCTAGTTTCTATTGCTTTTACTCCTAGAGAAGCGAATCGAGTTGGCCATGTTGTAGCACGTAATGCCTTATGCTACTCTGGCTCTTGTAGTGTTCGTTTCAATTGTTCTTATTTGCTTTGACTATCATTTCACGAGAAGCCGTTGTATTGTGGCTATCTCGTGCTTACCTAGTTAATCCGCAAGGGTTTCTATGACAAAAAAAAACATTAAACAGTTGGCAAAAACCGACCAAGAATCAGCCAGTCCATCCAATTCTAAGTTCCAAATTTCAAATGTGATTCCAAAATTTAAGGAAACTGAAAATGGAATAAGAACTCTCTTCAAGGCACAAAACGTTCAAATTATTCTTGTCCGTTACTAAATTGCGTATACATATCTTCCTTCACAGCAGCAGTCCGTACTTACAAAGGCTGAAGTTTCTCTCCTTCCCAAGCTCTGTTAACTGGAAATCAATAACATTTTCATGCCTCAGATGTACAAATAGAACAAATTGATCAAATCTCACTGGCGCCAACATCCGAGGAAACAACCAGGTCAAGGAAGCAGAGACAGAAAAGCCCCAGCAGAAGATCGAAACGCACATCCACCCAAAAATAATAAACACTGCATGGTCTCGGATTGCATTTGCAGGTGATGACCTTGTTTTCCAAACATCATTGCCTGTAGCCAGCAGTGGAGCTCTTGCTCGACAACAAGGGCTTCTCTTTCAAGTTACCGGTCAAAACAGTCTCGGAGTCTGTCGCTGACTGGCTCTCAGCAATTCCTGGTCTCATCCAAACTTTAATGTGCCCTTCTCGGCATGCTGTAACAACGGATTCTTGAGTGAAGATTAATCCGGAAAGCGGCTCGGTATGAACACGGTGAGCAACAAGAGGAGATAGCTTTGGCACATCTCGCATGCAAGGAGCAGGTTGCAGAATGCCAACTGGGACAACGTTGTCCCAGTGGGATGATTGACTACCGGCACTAAATGTTGGCGAACCACCAGGAGGACATCTTCGTAATGGCACCACGATTTCATCCATTTCCAAGTCCCATAACAACAACTGTGTATCCTGCGCCGCACAAAGACCATGGACTTATGGTGCTTAGGAAGGACTAGGTAGAGCACAAATTGAATATTAGGGTGTGATTGTTTTAACAAAAGAAAAAACACTTACAAAGCTTTGATCTAAAAGTTAGAAAAAAAGACAGTTTTTTCAATCTTGCTTTTTGAAACAACTATTCACCCAAACACAAAATTTAAGCCAAACTCTTTTCACTAATAAATTGATTACCAACTTTCCCCTGTTGAAATATAAGTATTATCTTAAAGTTATACAACGGTCTATCGTCTCATCATCAGTTACTAGCTTATTACTATACAAACATCTCATATCTCAACAACTAACATTTTCTACAGCCCAACCATATACACTTTTCTTCGCTTCTACTAAAGCTTGTCAGAATAAAATAGACTTATTTTGTCAGAACAAACACACTCAGTGTGTTTAGGTGACTAAGATGCGAAGTTATGTCAGTAGAAACAGGTAGCATAATCTATGATCCCTCATAGTTACTCTTAGTACTCTAACATGATGAGCAAGGTTACATACTAGGTAATAACTAAAATAAGGATGATAAAACCTTATGACTTATGTCATTTGAATTTTAAGTTTTATACTCAAGAGTTCAAGGCTACCATTTTCATCTCCATAAAAAAGTGACCCTAAGGCTGGCTGTGAAAGATCAGCTTGTTGCCAAAAGTCAGAAAATCTTTACTAATATAAATAGTAAATTCAAATTACCCCACTCAACAGCTTGCAATAAAGAAATTGACAAAAAAAATTCTCATAGTTACAAAGAAAGAAATGTACCTGGCCAACAGAGCCAAACCGGTACATTACCGTCTCAGCCGTGCCATCAGCATTTGGTGATAACCAATATGAATCAAATGCCACCCCACTCACCTGATCCCAGAAACACACGAGGAAAACAAGCAAACAGTGTCAGGAGTCTGTACTAAAACTGTTAGACACAAGAATTCCCGCTTGGGAAGATTCGGGATTGAGAAGAGAAGAAATTAGGGATTTGGGAGAATTGGGGAAGAACAAGAAAGAGAAGAGAGATTAGGGATTTGGAGTCTGATAATTGTTATTGCTTCCTTCTCAAAATACAGATCTGAATCCTAAAATAGTAAACCAAGAAATAACACTAATTAACGAAATTGCCACCCTCCTCCTAACCCGGCCGAGTTCGGCCTACTCACCCAACCCGGTTCGGGTTTTGGGTTTCCCACAAAAACACACAGAAATCTCACAGGCCGCACCAGAATACTACTTACCCATGAGTTATGTCCTTCGCCCCATGCGACAACCTTCCGATCTTCCATACTCCAAACTTGAACTAGATCATCTTCACCACCAGTCAAAATGTACTTCCCATCCATACTGATGAAATAAATTTTGTCAATACCCAAGTTAATAAATGTATTCACCCGGAAAGTTACTAATGTTCTAACTTCTAAGAACTCCCCTAAGATTATGTAGAACCAATAGAGAGGGAAAGCCAAGGATATTTATCTTCTGAAAGGAAGATATGTGAACTTAAATAAGATTTTGTTCCCCAGAAAATGGTTAATGAGTCAGAGAAGCAGCACAATTTCACCTCCAAGCACAAGATAGTAGAGCTCCATAGTAACTCTTCCCACCACAAATAAGTTGTTCCTTTGTATAGTCAAAAACTCTAAGGTATCCTGCATTTGAAGATGACTCATCTCAGTTTACTTACAGTTACAAAAAGAAGCAAATAAAATGAAAATCGAATGAAATGTTACCATCTCTTCCAACAGTTGCTAAGTGGGTTCCGTCAGCTGAGAAAGTGATGCTGTTTATTGAACCTTGGCATATGTGCCATCGGGCAATCGGGTTACTCTGCATATAGTTCGCACAATAAACAAAGAAGGTAAGGGAAACCAGGAAAAATTTCGATTTATTTAATTCACATGTCCTACAAAGCCAAACACAAGAGGCCAAAAGTAGAAAGGAAAAATTATGTTTCAGCACAGCAAATGCCCCCAATATTTTAGATTTCAGTTACTATTTGATCAGGCATCATCATGACATTGTAACAGCAACAGTTGATAACAAACCGTGGTTGAGATTTCGTTGTAGCTCTAGCCTCATATGCCTAGAACCAGCTCCAGAAATTAATAATATTATTCTAGTATACCTTGCTGTACCGTGCATGTGAAACGGAAAACTGGGCTTGATCCTTTATCACAGGGAAAGAAGTATCTCCAGCACCATCCTTGTTCTAGAAAAAATTAGGATTTCAGGACAGTGAACACTGGAAACAGCAAGAATAAGAAGCCAATGGAGATGTCATTTTTTCTTGTAATAAGTGATGCTTGCCTTTTCATACACATAAAGATTCCCATCAGCATGAGCAACAACAAAAGCACCCTCGCCTCCAGGCACCCATGCAATACTAGTACAACGACTGTCAAGAAAGAAGATAGGCTAATGAACTACCATACATGTGCACCTTCTATTTCATAATAAACATAATTGTGATATGACATTTTGCAGCACCAACTTCTTCAGAAAACCACATTTATGAAAGATGACACAACAAAAGAAAATAAGCTGCTACAATTCTGAAGAAACAGGTAACAATCAGAATAGCAGGATAATTATTCCAGATGCTACGTTCCACGATTGAACTTACACATCAGAGAAGAGAGGCAAGAGCAACGGAGAGAATTAATTTTTTAAGCTTCTTGTTCGAACGTCCTCGAGACACAAGTTAGTAAAGATATGGTACAAGTCACATTCAATGCTCAGGAAATTCATTTAACTAGTGGCATAATAGTGACCCTATGTCACACTCAAAACAAAAAAATTGTTTCAAGTTAATATGGGTACAACAAGACATCAAAGATAAAGATTTGCACAAGTGCTGCAGTCACACTGTTTCTTCTAGCACACTTAGTTACACAGTCTTTGATCCATTGAACAGCTTCTTTAACCTTGCATCGTGATTGACTTATTTAACAGACTAATGGAGTTGCTATAATCAAATAGAAGACTCAGACAGTGAAGTAAATCTTGCCTGTTAGTGATGGAACCATCTTTGTTATAATGCTGTGCCCCGACAAGTTTCTTCCCAACATCCTGTAATTGTTGTCTGAGAGATACTGAGTAGACTACAATAATACAAATGTAGCATTTAGACAATATGGACATTTGTGAAGGAGATAAATGCAACTAAAACTGAAGTAAATAACTCACCGTCACCAGAACTTAAACCAATAACCAAATCATGTCCATCCCTAGCATCCGGATCGAAGGCATGGCAAACAGGGTTTGAATTACTAAAATGGATGGATTTGATTGGATCCTACACCAAAAGACAATGATATTGAATCTCTCAAGACAGCAACAATGCTAGCTAATAAATATGATCCCTAACTCACCTTATCTTGAGAGTTGAGGTCGCTTACAAAAATAGCATCCCCAACATTAAATATCAAGTAAGTCCCTTTTCCATCAAAGTTCGGATTTATCATAGCACTACTTGAGCATGAAGCCCCTAAAGAACCAATCCTACTGGTGCCACTAACAGTTTTACTCCCACCATTCCCTCCAACAAAGCTAAGTGCTCGACTCCCATTGCCAGCACCCAACAATCTTGCTGCAGCTGATCTCACTCCACTGCTAGCACTAAACGTTGAAGATGAAGATGTCGGGGTATGTGGGGCTGGCTTGTCTTTCAGATTAGCTAGAGTTACCTGGACATCAGAACAAATCCAATTGAGCTTTTGAATACTGGAATGAGGTCATTCATTGTTTCAACATCAGACATTGTGAAACAATTGAAGAATGATTATGCCATTGACTTCTAAGCAGTGGCAATCAGAAACCCTAGGATTATAGACTTCAATGATTTGGGATAAACCAAACCCTAGAAATCAAATGCATCAGCAACACATGCGCCACGATGAACAAAACAAGGAAACAGAAACGGAAGAACCAAAAGTCCCGGCCTGCCCAATAAGACTAAACACTGATCCTAGTGAATCCACAACAGACCCATTAATCAACGCCAGTAATTGTGGGAGCTCCTAATGAACTAGAAGAAGGGGGGAGAACAGCTTTCCCTACTAAAAAATTGGATACTGCCCCAAAACCGAAGTGAACTTTGAAACTACAGCTTCCAGAGAGCGTTGAATTTGGCGAAGTAGGAGTAAATTAAGAATGCGAAAAGGGGGAACGCTGAATAGGAAGAACCACCTGAGTGACAGTTTTGCCATGGGCATAGTGAAGGAGACCAGAAGGGTGTGTTTTCTCGTAGTGGAGCTTGTACCTCCCTTCCGGGGTTTTGAAATAGGTCTTCAAACCCGGCGATTGGGCGTTCGCCGTCGACGATGACGTCGAAATCATACCGTTACTGCTATTGATCATTGTCCCGCCTGCTCGTTACTATACACCCGAGAGCATCTGATCATGACAAAATTTCCCAAAGAAGCTGCCCCTGCGCCCTCCGCTTCTGAATAATCTGATTCGATTATTTTGACTGCAAAGTTCTCTAATCCGCCACTGTGATTCCTCCTCCAGATTTTAAGCGCCGAACCACAGCTCTTTGCTTTCTCTCTCTGAGTCTGTCTCTAGTATTTTCTGTGTTTTTTTTTTTTTTTGTTCTTCCTTCGCTAATTTGTTCTTCCTTCTGTCTTTGCTTCGCTCTCCTTCTTTCCTCCTGTGTCTTCGATGGAGATCAAACTTCAAAGGATCTCCCGGGATCACCGCTCTACGCTGCCGTTTGGTATTTGGAAGGTTTTCTTTCATTCATTTGTGTTGTATTTTTTCCCCTAGTATTGATGCTTATACGCCTAATATTCATATAAGATAAACTACGTACTTGGGAGATTCCAAAAGTACTGTTATACAACCATGGCCTAAATTATGGGTTACACATCGAAGGAATGTGCCAAAAGGGGCACAATGACCCATATTTACGAGGTAATCAACTACAAAGTTTGACTCTCTATACACATAATTAGCATTGACTTCCCAATCGAGAATCAAAAGGTACTTAGAGTTTTATCCGCTGGTAGCCCATGCATGTGGTCATCGTCAAAACAATTCTTGATAATAGCAACGATAGTGCTTGAGTTAAGATTGAGCTCCACCTTTTTGTGCCCCTCTTTCCACGCTAGGTTAAGCCCTTCGATTGCACCCTTGACTCCTGCACGTGTGATTGAACAATTGCCAAGATTGCAAACAAAAGCCCTACTGCATTTTCTGGGTGATCCCGTACAAGTCCATCAGCAGCAGCTTGCTTAGAGGAAGATTGCAATGATCTGTCTGTTTGGATTTGAGCCCACCTGTTTTCCGGCGAGAAAACTTGCGTTGAAATAAATTAATGCACCTTTGAATTCTTTGGGCAACGATTACTAAGACACGGCTCAAAACTCTTCAAACAAAGTTCAAACGAGGGTGTTTGATTGATGGTTTTTGGGAACGAGATCTAAATTAAATTACTCCTACTCCTATGGAGGTTCGGCGAGAGCTCCAAACTACGAACTACATCTATGGTTACATGATAGAGAAAAGGTAAAGGATAAACTTGACATGTGCGTCAGAGTGTTGGTTTTGGAACCCTTGTCTCTGTCGACCCCTCCTCTTATTTATAGCCCCGAGGAGGTAACCGCCATAGAAAACCGCTTGTTGGATAACTGCTACAAAGAACCGCTCCCCCTTCTTCGGTAGAAAACCGCCCCTTGGATAACTCCCAAAAAGAACCGCTCCCTGCTTCCTCAGAGTGGTGGTTACTCCTTCAACCGCCTAGGGGCCTCTCTTGTAACCGTCGTGGTTCTTGGAGTGTAGCTTGCCTCGCCTAGTCTTGTTCTGAATCTCGTGTCATGCTAGTCTTTTGATAAGCATGTGGTGTCTCACAAACGGGGTCGTGGTCTTCTTGCCTCGCGGCCATGGACTTCTTACTCATGTCCATGGCCTTCTTGTCTTACGGCCATGAACTTCTTACTCATGTCCATGGCCTTCTTGGGACTTAGTCACTAGTGATATAATCCTCCACCACCACGCCCTTCTCATTCAATGTCCATGGCCACTCTTGTGAAGTGGCATGGACTTCTCAATCATGCACAATGCCCCTCTCATGAGGCGGCATGGCCTTTCCATACTTAGTATTTTCAATCATTTCTAATTCTTCTTGCTTCGCGTCCATGGCCATCACATGACACGGCCATGGACCTCTTAATCATGCACATGACCCTTCTCATGAGGCGGCATGGCCTTCTCAGACTTAGTATATTTTGGATCATGAGGCGACATGGCCTCCTCATTCGCGGCCATGGACTTCTCTATCATGTCTGTGACCCTTCTCGCGACACAACATGGCCCTCTCATACTTAGTATCTTTTCTTGCGTCCATGCCCCTTCTCGTGAAGTGGCATGGACGTCTCATCTTGTCTCGCGTCCATGCCCCTTCTCGTGAAGCGGCACGTGCTTCTCCTTGAAGTGGCATGTACCTCTTCCAGACTTAGTTTATTTTTCATTCATTAGGCCTTGGTCATGGGGCGGCATGGCCTCTTCATTCATGGCCATGGACTTCTCATACTTAGAAATTTTCATGCCATCTCGTGGCATGGCATGGCCTCTTACGAGAGGCCCATGTCCCTTATTGAATCATGTCCATGCTCATTAATGAGCTAGTGACTTGGGTTTAAAATCAATATCCATAAGGCCCAATTTAAACAACATTAATTGTTATAATGGGTGTGGCCTTATAAACTCCTTGATTATCTTGTAACTCACCAATGTGGTACAAGACAAAATTTATGGTGTAAACAAATGCCCCCCAACTACTTAGTGCATAAGGATTATGGACTAAGTAGTTGATACCACCTTGACCACTTATATCCCTTCCTCGAGTAACAAGGCTTGTCTCTACTCACCCATGACCACAGGTTCAATAAAACTTGAAATTTTTTCCTCTAAAACAACACCATGTACCTACGTTTTTCAAGTGGCTAGTTATGCCTCCTAATTGTCTTCATTCATGTTTAGCCACGAGAAACCCTTGCCTTGTTGGCTTCTCGTCAACAATTCAGTGAGGCCCCTACGCTTTTCTTATTTTACATGCTCAAGCTGGCCATCACTCATCTCCAACCCACGATACCCTTAGGTCGTGGCCAACATCCAAACTGGTGGCCACTTGGGACAAGACGACATAGCATGGCAAGACACAGTCTACGACTCGGTATGCCAAGCCATCACTACGACTTGGTGGTAAGATCTTCACATTAAAGTCTAATAACTTCGACTCAAAATTTCCACTTTGTTATTTTCTCTCTATTTTTTCTTATATAGCCATGATTGGCTTTTATTTATTTATTAATATATATGATATTTATTTATTTAAGATAACAAGGAGTGACAAAGGTCACTGCTCTCCATCGCCTCTGGCAACAACTAATGCGCCAAAGGTGTACACCCACTGCCAAGTCCATGGATTGAAGCAGGCAAGCCATCCATAGACCACATGACTCTTTTTCTCTATGGGAGATGACTCTACATACATTAATTTTGAATCTTCTAGCTTACCAGTGGGTGGTATATGATCAGCATGTCTAGCCTTGGTGGCTTTGCATGGGGTCTCATGCTCATATGCTTTAGCCACATCACTTGACATGTCAAGACGACCGTGGGTTTTCCTCTGCCTTGGTTTCCTCATGGTTGAGACATGCTTACTCTCCTCGTGTTTTTGGAGACGATGTCCAGTCTTGACAAGTTGGCGACCACCCATGTGGCCCACTTGACTTTTTCTTTCATCCTCCAAACCTTGTTGGCTCCTACCCTTAGCACACGACCATCTTTGGTTCTTTGTGAGGCCATGTTTGGTTTGTGCGTATGATACCTTCTTATGCATGCCCCTATGTCCATCATTCATGATTGATGGCATGTACTTACTACTACTCATGGACATGGACTTGCCCCCCTGTCCACACTTAGCCAAACTTGTGTACTTATCACAAGCATGTGTAGGTTGGAATTCTTTTAGATTCTTGGACATGCCCCCTACTCCATTATTCATGGTGGGTGACATGCCTCCTTGCCCATACTTAGCTAAATTTTCAACACTACGAGAACTCTTTTTGGCTTTCCCACGTCTTTTCTTATTGGACTTGACCTCATGTCCACTTTTGATGATTGGTGGCATGCCCTCTTGTCCAGACTTAACCATAGTTTTACACTTATAAAAGCCATGGGTGGCTTGGAGCTGTTGTGTCTTCCAACACATGCCCCCTACTTCATACTTCATGATGGGTGACATTGACATGCCCCCATGTCCAGACTTAGCCAAACTAGCATGCTTAGCACAAGCATGTGTTGCTTGTGATTGATGTGGTCTCTCAGACATCACATGCCCCCTAGATGGACTTTTAGGCTTCACCTTGTGGGAGGTTAGACTTTCATGCCCCCCATGATGGGCTCTAGATGGTTTGAGCTCTTCATAATTCACTCCTTGCCTATTCATTGGGGGTGACATTGGGGGTGAGTGAACAGATCGTGGTACTTGATCCATTTTGGATGAAACGCCACCACCTACGTCATCCACAGGAGTTCTTCTATCTAGCATGGGCGGTTGAACTCCATATTGTACAGACAAGTCACAATCATGGGTCCTAAACGTGAAGGCCAAATTTTGGCCACAACTCCCATGTTGAGATGGCAGTTGGCTTGTTACCGATGTCGGCGATGTTCCTTTCCATGATCGACCATTTTGACAACTAGTGGAAGAAAGATTCTTACACCATGTAACACTATTTAGTGGTGGATCTTTGCTATTTATTGGCAAAGTATTTGATTGAACCATAGATATGTCCGAGACATGTCTAGACTCATAAAAATGGCTTTGAGTCTTGCTCAAGTTGCCAAACCAATTATATAGCCATGTATCCATCCAAGAAATGAGAGAATCATGACGCTCAATGAGAGAATCGATACGTTCAATAAGAGAAGCATGGCGCTTAATATGAGAAGTTAAACGTCGGTTTACCTGTTGGGGGTCAACCATACCCTCCTCAATGGATTGATGGAGCGAAGTGAAAGAAGTTGCTTCATCCAAACTTGTCGCCGGTGCTGGCAGAGCCTTCATCCAACCATTGTTTCCAGCGACAACATCCACTCGACCAACTTTGAAGCTAGTCACTTGATCCTCTTCTACGAAGACATGTAGAAGATCTTCATCTTGTTGTCTATGTCGTGGAGCCATCATATCAAACACAAGGTCCCACCAGGTGTGCCAAATTTGTTTTCCGGCGAGAAAACTTCTTGTGTTGAATTGAGATGGATTGCACCTTTGACTTCTTTGGACAACGATCACTAAACACGGTTCACACCTCTTCAAACACAGTTCGAACGAGGGTGTTCGATGTTTATACGACTCTCGAGACAGATCTACATTAAGTTACTCCTACTCCTATGGAGGTTCGGCGAGAGCTCCAAACTACGAACTACATTTATGGCTACATGATAGAGACAAGGTCAAGGATAAACTTGACATGTGCGTCAGAGTGTTGGTTTTGGAACCCTTGTCTCTGTCGACCCCTCCTCTTATTTATAGCCCCAAGGAGGTAACCGCCATAGAAAACCGCTTGTTGGATAACTGCTACAAAGAACCGCTCCCCCTTCTTCGGTAGAAAACCGCCCCTTGGATAACTCCCAAAAAGAACCGCTCCCTGCTTCCTCAAAGTGGTGGTTACTCCTTCAACCGCCTAGGGGCCTCTCTTGTAACCGTCGTGGGTCTTGGAGTGTAGCTTGCCTCGCC